AAGACCTTCAAAAAAGAAGGGAAAAAAAAGCGGAAAATCCATTCGCGCACTGATCAGTTTAATGGAGGGGGAAAAAAAAAAACAAGGGAAGCATGAGCGATTTCGGAAAAAAAAAAAACCGGAAACACAAGCGATTTCTGGAAAAAAAAAAAAAAAAAAAAGCGAAGTGGGCACGTGCACGCACGCAGCCGGAATAGGTAAGACGCACACATAAATATATAGATAGATAGATACATAGATAGATAGATAGATAGAGAGAGAGAGAGAGAGAGAGAGAGAGAGAGAGAGAGAGAGAGAGAGAGAGAGAGAGAGAGAGAGAGAGAGTCCAACTTCTTGGTAAACATTCAAGATATGAAGGTCCCGTAGTGATGAAGAATCTCTCAAGAAATGAAACTTCAAGAGGTAAACTACTTTCAGCATTGCCATTCTTTTTTTGTGGAGAGTGGGACTCGGCACGAACAGTTACACGAACAAAGCCAGATACATGACAACCGCAAGGGAAACCACGGCCATGCCAAAGTGGCGTTGTGCTCCCCCATTGCACTTGTGAAGCAGCTCTGTCTTCACACGATAGTGGTAAATCCAATCTTGAACACCGACGAACAGGAACTCGTCGTCGTCGGAAAGAGTGACGCAGCGGACAGGTGCTTGCGATCCGTCGCGATTGATGCATGCGACCACTACCTGCGACTCGATGACGTTGCCGTCCGATCGATCGAACTTCAGCCATCGGATCACCCCACCCTGCGCCTCAGCCACAAAGAGATTGCACCCATCTCGTGTCAACGCAAGAGAGTAGGGGCGTTCCAAGGTCACAGGGAAAGGTGCTGAGGCAGAGGTCGCCGCTCTGCGTGCCTGTGCTGGAGGTCCAGCTATGGTTTCCGTCGCGCCTGTCATCGTATTCACTCGCCTGATGGCATTGTTGTTGATGTCAACAATATATAAGTAACGCCCATCTTGGGAGACTGAGCGAGAGGTGATGCCTGGCCAATCGAATCTCACCTCAGACCCCTCAGCACCATCTGAGAACCCCGTGGTCAAATTGTACTGCGGTGTAGTACTGGGACCAGCAAGCGTTTTCAGTTCCAAGTCCTCCTGATGCTGACGATGAGGAGGACGTCCGATCGTCCGATCCACGCTGGCAACGGCGGCGATTCGATCTGCCCATGCCACATAGTACATCGAATCTGGCTGTGAATCCGCCAGAGTGGGACGTTTGGAGATTCGATACGGACCTAACTCGCGCTGATCGAGTCTCAGCAGGATGGAATCCGCCGCGAGAGCGAGAGAATCATTGGAATTATTCTCTTGTAGGTTTACCTCTCGAATAACCGACTCCGTCGCATCGGCGACAATCAATCTGCTATTTTGGTTCTCTAGCAATATTCCGAACAAAGGTGTGGAGGAGTTGGTGGAGTTTCTTTCGAGCAGCGGGCGGACTTCCCGGAAAGTCGTTGCGTCCTTCTGATAAGAGACTTGCAATTTGAGCACTGTGCTCTGTACCTTGGTGACGGTCTGTTTCTCCATCCTGTAAGTGAGCTCGTTCACGTAGAAATCGACGTCGTAAAATCGCCGATCAGATTCGTTGTACGAGACATAAACTTGAAGATCGAAGTAGTGACTCCCCAGCACCGTAGACTGGTTGTCGCTGGGATCACCGGAAGCAAAGCCGCCTACAGATTCGAGCATCAACGGCTGATCCTCTGGAACATTGACTGTACAAGTCGACAGTGTTGGGGGCGCTTGTAGAAGTGGTAGGGTTGGCCGTGGGACCTCCTCCTCGCCTTCCACAGAGTTCTCATTCAAACCATGAATGAGCTCAACCCTAAAAATCAACCCTGTCATGTGCGGTGAAAGCAGAAGCAGAATGCCTGTCATCACCTTGAGAGCAAGCGTTCTAAGGAGGACAGGAAGAAGGCGGTGCCTCGGCGCAGCTGTGGAGATGGCGATCAGGGTAGTTCTCCCAACTCCTTGCATTTTTTTAAAAATTATATATCTATCTATCTATCTATCGATATATATATATATATATATATATACCGTGATGCTTGCAAGATCTGTTTTGACACTCCGCGACGAACCAATTATTATCACCTACTGTAGTAAATAATCGGCGCTTGATCTTCACCACGATGAGACTACTAGGGGTAGCACCGAAAAAATCACGGCTATCATCGAAAGGACGAACGAGGCACGGTCGGCGGTCCTCGTTCACTTGCAAACCAACTACCTAGTACCTACTCAACCATACGCCTCGAGATGTCGTCAGGAACGAGAGCGTCAGAAAATCCATCAGTAGACCGGGGGCGTTGTCCTGTTCAATGCAGACAGGGAGGAAGAAAAGGGGGGGGGGAGGGCAGAGTGCGTGGTTGGGGTTGGTGCGCTGGGTGAGGTCATCCTCACTCGCGTTTCTTGTTCGTGGCGGTGGTGGCAGCCTGTGTTGCCTTGCGGTCATTGAGCGAGGGGTCCACGTTCAATGGTTGGATATGTATCACCGGCGGCCGCGGCCGCGGGGTCGATCCCANTCCACGTTCAATGGTTGGATATGTATCACCGGCGGCCGCGGCCGCGGGGTCGATCCCAGGCAGCCTGTGTTGCCTTGCGGTCATTGAGCGAGGGGCCACGTTCAGTGGTTGGATATGTATCACCGGCGGCCGCGGCCGCGGGGTCGATCCCAGCCAGCAGCCGAGATCTCGGGCGCAGCCGTGGACCGCGGCGGCTGTGGCCATGGGATTTCAGGGATTTTTTCCCGCTGAGATAACGGGAGGAAAATATATTGTCCTTATCTCCCACTCTGCCTATGGTTTACCCGTCAAATGGTTTACCGGGCAGCTCTGTTTGACAATATAACTCCGACGAAACAGTTTGTCACAGCCCCTCGTTTGTTGTCCTCTTCTCTCTCTCTGCCTACGGTTCACCGGGCATTGGAAAGATTGGATTGGAAAGAGCGAAGGCTAATCACAGCGTCGACTGAGATCAGCGGCACGCGACACATAAGCAAGTTGCTGAAAAATACAACCCGCCAGAATATGTGAAAACTCGGAAATTACTGAGAAGTTACTCTTCTGCAACACCAAGAGTATCTCTTCGAAAGATCTGCAACAAAGCTCAAGAGGAAGCCATAGCCAGGCTAACCCTGGTGATGGCTGTCTGGCTTCCCTCGACCGGTTTCGGCTAGAGCCAGTTCTAGCCTCATCAGGAGGGGTAAATATCCGAGGTAAGAGAAAGGGAAAGCCCTCTCTCTTAAATAGTAGCAAATGTAACTTCTATCTAGGCATCCCGTAGCTAGTAAACCACCAAGGTAAGTTCTCCTTCTTGGCGCAAAAAATACGGAAAGCTGAGGTCAGTCTACAGGCAGTACTCCCAAAAAACGAGTTATGCTTTTGTGTCTTTCGTATCCTGTACTCAAGGCGCAGTAACTTTGTAAACCGGTCCAGGGCAGGAGTATCACTGTTCTTGGCGTCGGAATTATCCGCGGGATTACTTGAAAATCCTAGGCTGCGGAGGTAAAACAGAAATCCCACGTTCAGATCGTAGTCCGCATGTTCAGGAAAAAAGAAATCGGGCTAGGCTCTGTATTCCCGCCATCTATATGTCAGTTTCCAGGAAGGACTCAGCAAAAACGAGTAAGGCCTGTAGTTATTCGTAGTCGGTAGATCAAAACCCTACATCTAAAGATCTAACAAAGGACAAACGCAGTATCTCAACTTCCGCCTTGGTGTTGTTTGTACCCTGTAAATAAAAAAAACTTTTTAACTAAAGATCTAGCAAAAAGACAAACAAGAAAAACGCGGTAACTCTATTTCAGTAAGAATGGCCGAAGTTTCAAAATCGCTTTTCACCCAAGAGTCTTCCCCTGAAAAAAAAACCGGGAAAGTCTCCTCTTTGAGTCGAGTAGATCCAAAAGCAATCGTGGCTGGAAATCTGGTTGGGGCTCAGCAGATCAGAACAGCCCGCAGATAAGGGTACTTGAAATTACCGGCCACAGAACTTTTTCCCCCATTTGTCCCATGACGGGGCTTTAGTACGTATGAATTTTCCCAGGCATTCATTGAAGTACTTACCTGGGTAGCCTTGCAGTTGAAGTAATCGTTTCAGGGTAAGTAAACTCACTCCCGTCAGTTCCACCTCAGAAGTCATTTGGTAAATTCTGTGCAGGCAGCTAGTGATTACAGCTTTCTTCTGGGG